GAAATAGGCTGAAACGGAGTAGGGCCTGCAGGCCCTCGTTTTTCAGTTTTCAGGCTGAAACGACCGGGGCCTGTAGATCCTAAGTTTTAGGCTTTTAGGCTGAATGTCCGGGACGGGTCCTACAGGGCCCGTGTGGTTACGCAGTATGCCACATTACCTGTGGCCGTGACATTGAGGATTGCAGCGAGGGAAAACACTCAAGTGGAGGGGGGAAGAGGTACGCAGCCCTTGAAGCAGCAGGAAAACACTCAAGTAGCAGCTAGGCCGGTACCGCACGCTGAAGAGGTAGATGTGCCTGGTACTTGAGGCCGAGCAGAAGAAGACAAAAGTGGCATTTTTAGAGGCCCAGTAGTTGTAGGCTAGGTCTAGGCGGGTACCAGTCCAACCAGTCTGAGTCTAGGGCCTGTACGGGCAATATCGGAGTGTGCAATGATGTTTCCCTCCGAAAAGGAGGAGGTACCGGTTGCTTGGAAGGCCGAGCGGCCTGGAAGTCACCGCCCAAGAGGCAAGCAGGCCGCTATATCTCCCAGTCAGGCGAAGAGCCCAGCCTCATTGTCGGTGTGCAAGTTTGGCGACACACTGGTTGGAGTGCTGGCTGGAGCAGCGCTGCTGGGGAAAGAGCAAGGACACGGAGGAGGAAGAAGGCCAGGGCTCGGGAGGAGTGCCAGAGGTACTTACCTGGCTATGGTGGCAGCCATCTTCATCACCTTGGTGGGCGCTACAGCAGGAAGGCCCCAGCTGGGGTTAGAGCTACACCAAGAAGCATCGAGGCAGAGCTAGGCATGGCGGCCTGAGCTAGAGCAGCCATAGCTGCTTTGGGTTGTCCTTTGGGCATCTGGGCAAGGCCTAGTAGTCCACCATAGCCTAGGCCTATGAGAGTAAAGAGTGAGAGAGGCGGCCATGGCTATGGTGGACCTCAAGTGATACCTGCAGTAGAAGAGGGATTTAGACATTGATTATGGTTTAGCCATTTAATATTGTATTATTATTTCTTGTGTGAATAAGAATGGAGGAGATAAGGAGGAAGAGGTTTGGCAAAGAAGAAGAGCCTTATCATTTGTCTATGCTGGTGTACATCATCTTCTTCTTCTTTCTTACTTCTTCTTCTTCTTCTAACCTTCTCTCTCCTCTCAAGTTCATTCATTTCTTTCTGCAATCGGACGGCATTGTACTATCTGATGAATGTGTATCTCGAAATTGGCCAGGATCATAACACACACACACACACACACACACACACACACACACACACACACACAATCAGTTCTTATGTTCGTTTGTTTTCCTCTTGTAGTCTATC